ATTTGATGTAAAATTACACGCAAGAGATTTAAATTATGCCGTCAAGGCGTGTTTTTATAGAATGGCGTGTGGACTAACGCCAAGGAACGCGTTCATTCCGCGGAATGAAACTTTAACGATTTTGAACTGTTTATAGAATTTTCCTCATTGGGGTTTTTGGCAATCTCAGTGAAATTAGCTAAATGAAATAGTCATTATATAGTGTAAATAGTTTTGCCTGCTGCCACGCCTTGAATAAGGGGCATAAAGCATTTGTCACGTTTTATAGAGAAAGAACAAAAATGCAATCGTCATTCGGGCGCGTTGACTTTGTTAAAAGTTTCGTTTATGGTGTGACGTAATAGATTCGATCCCTATCTATGACATTAGTAAGCAGACGTTTTTTACCTTTTATCTGAGCGTCGCAGGTAAAAAAATCTGGCTCAAACGGGGTGCTTACCATTTGACAGAAAAATCTGGTTCCTAAATTTTCATGTTGCCTGTATGTATATGAGTGTTCGTATTCAGGGTTTTATCTAAGAATTGACCACATGGGTCCCCTTCTGATACGGGATAGGGCGCCCCTATTTTCAAGAAAGAGGGCCCAAACAGTGTGACATTTTTTTCCAGCTGGTTTGAAATTTATTTTCTTCTATGTCCTGCTTGTTTTCCTTTTTTATTGTCTTCATGCTAATTTTCATCTTCACTACCATTTGACCAGTAAGCTCGAGCATATTTTCAGTTATTACTTAAATTATCTGAAAAAGTAAAAAAAACTTTTTAATGACTCTATAGCTCGTTAAAATAACTAGGACGAGGTTTATCTTCCTTTTCATCCTTAGATTAAAGGTTGACTGCATGTAGTTGTGCTATTTTCAACACAAGTAACCGGCAAATTTGCTGTTGAAGTTTGTCATTTGTGTTGCCCAACTTTTTTAACGATCATTCGCTCCCAACTTGAAAACTGACATAATCACACGTCATTCCTGGTCCTCACTTCATCATCAAATCCTTTATTTAACATCATTTCCGCGCCCCATTTGCCGCACCTACATAAATTGTGTGCGGCACTATATTCAAATCGCGGAAGTTCCATAGAATATACCCTGTACGAGAGTGTTCATATACAGTACCCGTTGGACAGAAACGACAGGAGGCAATGGTTAATATTGTGAAGCTTCTGTTTTAGCCCGCATAGAAGGCCGTGGAGACATTTAGTCGATCTTAAACGTCTGAAATGCCTTGCCCACCGTCGTATGCATTCATACTTAAAATCAAAATCAAGTGAGCTTTTACTTTTTTGTTCTACATGAGATTTCTGCTCTGGAAGTTTGACCATTTCACTACCAAAGCGGCCAGAGTCAACATTTAAATACATTTCTAAATTTCACTTTGTAAAATTCTGAAAAACAAATGGCATCATGTGAAAGTACGGTGGAAGAGGTGTCATTTGAATGGTCACACCATAGGATTTCGTCCACAGCCTCAAAAGATAGAACTACAAACTAAATGAATAGTACCATGTGAAAGTACTATCAAGTAGAGATTTTATTTGATCAGACGCTGTGTTCCAGTGTTTTGCTTGTTGCTTCCGTGTCGTTTTTCAAATTCCAAAGTTTGGTAATGACTTTTTTTAAGCTTTTGGTACTGCTACTTGTTATTTCCTAGTGTAGATGTCTTTGAATAGTCGCCCCGAATAAGGGAATCCAGATTCCGGAATCCGAGAAATTTTAGCTTGAGGAATCCTAGTCTACGTGTGGCCGCACCCTCCTCCCGACAAAGGAAAAACGGAGAGACTTGGGAGGGTGCGGCTACACGTAGGCTAGTGGAATCCGGAATCCTGGAAATTTTGCTTGTGGAGTCGGAATCCGGAATACAGCTCAAGGAATCCGGAATCCCACCGACACCTTGAATCCACAATTCAGTTTTCACTTACAAAGACTGGAATCCAGTACCAGTAATCCGGAATACACGGCGTGGAATCTACAATCCAAGACTGCCTTGGATTTCCTTTCACTGGGCGAAAATAGCGTGCGATTCACGCTGGTTTTGCGTTGGCTTCGCGCGAGGAGGTACCACCCAACGCCAAACCAACTCGAAACCGGCGCCAAGGCCCAACACGAAACCCTGTTTGCAGGCTTGTCTTCGAAGAACTCCCTTTTTAAATAGGCACGGAACCTGCGAGACAAAATTTCAGGTCATGCTTACGATTAGCTTGTGTACAGCTCCCCCTCCCTTAAAAAATCGGGGAGAGAGGCGTCTGTGACTTGCCGACGTTAATCGTGTTCTGGTCTCTCTCCCCGAATTTTTTTGAGAGGAGAGGACGTCTGTACACAGGCCAGCTTATAATAAAAAGAAGTACATATATCAGCAGGGGACTCTTGAGTAAATGACTAAATATTTTAATGAAACGTCATATTTGTGTAAAATTTGCTGATGATGCTCTTAAATGAAATCGCTGGTTGCCGAAAGCATCATTTCTTAACTTATAAAAATTGTATATTTTAAATATTTAACGACACTGTAAACAATACAGTAGCATGGAGATTATAAAATTCGGATCACATCTGCGCTTGCTGTGTTATTGTTTCTAAAATAGGGGAATAGGGAGTGAAAAGAAAAAAAAATCCTTCGATCCTGTGAGGAGTATTTTCAACCTATCTGAAATTCGAAGTCTCTCAGCCAGTCTATCACTGGAATCCTCCTTAACACTACTAACCGTAACCCTAACCCATCTCCTCCCCCACCCCACCCCACCTATAACCGTAAACAAAAGACAAAGCACGGAATGCACGCAAGAGCAAATTTACGTTAAAGTCATTTCTTGTTTATAATTCAGTGGAGTATAAGTGACGTTCATGTAGGAAATTAAAACAATCTTACAAGTAATACCCCATTAACAGACTCACACGAAATTATATACCCTGTTAAGGACAGCGAGGTCAAAAACTATACCCTTTCCAGCAGCACTGATCCCCGTATAGGCCATGTAAGTGAATTCCATCTCCCCTGGGGCTAGAGTCAACCAACAATTTCAAGTAAGTTTATTTCTTCCTTTCATGTAACTAGTCAGTCAAAGCCCGTGCGCATACAGAATCTTCAAGTTTTCAAAATGCATTAATTTAACTGGTGTTACCTGACAGATAAGTGTTTTGTTGTTGTTGTTGTTATTGCTGCAAAACTTTTGGTACTGTCTATCATTTACATGATTGCTAAGCGAATATTTGGCCCAGTTATACACAAGTGTACTTCTCCACAGACAAGGTCAATAACATAATTATGATCGTCATTATAAGACATAACTTACAGGGCCAATTAGGCAAGAACTATTATTTTGACATAAATTTGATATGTTTAACAATATTTTTTGAGATCGAAGTGAATAGTAGAGCGAGGGAAACGCGCGAGCGCGTGAAAATCACCCCACGCGAGAAAAGGCGACACGAAAATTGTTCTCTCTTCCCACCGCGTCTCCCCTTTCTCGCGTGGGATGATTTTCACGCGCGCTCGCGTTTCGCTCGCTCTACTGTCCCTGAGGACAAATGGGGGACTACTTGTGGTCTACGTTTTTCTCTGAAGTGGTGAACATTGCTTCGAGCTACAGTTAATCACTTCACAATAAAATCACGCTGTTTAAACACCATGAAGTCTTTTCCCGGGGTCTTTTCTTACCTTCAGAAACGTCAACACAAGGATGTTTTTGTATGTTCAAAAAAACCTTAGTTCGAAGACTTTGGCAAAACATCTAGTTCACGACAGCGAGTTTGTTTAATTTTGCTTTTAAAATAAGCTTATTCATCGCCTAACGCGGTGAATATAACGTTTAGTAGAATCTCTTTTGGCATACGTACTTTTGCGACGGTTGATTTTTCTCTTAAGTGGAGCGTAAGCTCCCCGGGGGGGGGGG